CCCTTTTGGGGGTGGGGGGAGGGGGCTAACAGAGAGCATCTGTTACAGTTCTGGGTGCAGCCCTGAGCCCAAACCATGGCACACATCCGTAAGATTGTGTTCAAACCTGCTGCAGGTCAAAGATACAATTAATTTGGGCTTTTTCATCTACCCTGTTTGGAGGACACCAACATAGCTGTCCAGCTCAGGACTTAGTATAGCTGTGTCTTTCCTTAATGGAATGGGGGATATGCATTATCATACAATATTATATGAACCGGAGTCAGGAAGACAACACGAAACTGCAGCAAGAAGGTGGAAAAATCGTAACATAAACTTAAGTAGTTTAAGCACTGCTTAAGCCATATTTGGCTTTAGTCCTAACATAATCCAGAAGCATTAAGGCAATTTTTTCTGTATGTATATATATATAGACACACAATAGATATAATTTTTTCTGTATATATATATGCATACATGCTGGTAAAACAGCATGTTGTAACAAGTTATTAGGATCTTAATTCCCATTATTATGCCTGACACTGGGAATTCACCTGAGACATGATTAACAGTCCTTGTACCACCTTTTGCATTGGTTTTGGATATTTTTTTTCTGCATTTTCCTGCAAATTCGGGAAAGCAAAAGATAGGAATGCCTCTCACAGCAATGAAATTTTTATTCAGGATCTGATCATGGGACTCACAAATAAGAATCTATAACCATAATTGTAAGATCTCACAGCACAGGTCTTTATATCATTACTGTCTTACCATTTAAACAGTAGAGGTACATAGGTTTATGGTCAATAAAACATATTTAACTGATTCTTGATCTGTACCAATTTTTGCACAAGTCTGAAAATCTACCCTAAAATTTAATGCATGCAAAATGGGTATCTGACAGTGCCTATGCTGTTAAAAGCTATCAGCTGACAGGATGTAGATAATTTACTACCCTTTCCTAAATAAATAACATTTTGGTCTTATAGCCTACCATTAGCAGATGTTGGAAGGGTCAGAATTGGAATAACACACATTAATATCAATTTAAAAAACAAACAAAAAAAACCACCCAACCAAACACAAACGAGGCATCTAAAGTGAAATGGGTGATTCAATGGGACAGTTTACCAGACATAAGATTGTAGATGCAGGTCACAGATGATGGTTTATCTACAGCAAGAATGCAGCACAGCATGGGTTACAAAAGGGCCAGATTAACCACAGTCATCATAATCCCATTCTCAACAGCACCTGTCTTTTAACTGATGCTGATAGAGCTAGATTAGTAAGTAGAAAAATGAAAGGAAAATGCAACATGGAAGAGAGAAGTCTAAATTTGGAAGTAATGTAACACTGCTACTGTGCAATGTTAACATTATCATTTAACATTACTATAAAGCAAACAAAGGACAAGTACGCATAGTTTTAAGATAAAACATAACCTGAACGGTTTTTACAGTTACAGTGGACTTGACTAATAAATTCTTTGTGTCATTTACAATGTTTGTTCTGTCACATGGATTGCTGGTTGTAATTAATCCCATATAGAAGAAAACCACATAAAATACCCCCTCCAATGTGGTGAAACTACGAATTCAAAAGCACTATGCATCACAATAACATGATGGATAATGCATTAAAAATACTGCAGAACTAGTCAAATGTCATATTACAAGCATACAAAGGAAAGAAACTGAATACTTAGGATTTTACTATGAAACACTTTCTTTAAAAAATACTGTATGCAAAACTAATCTAAAATTCAAATAAATCCTCACTATAATTTTCACAAAGATTTTGGTAACTCAACATTTTACTCTATTGCAAATATGCCAGGGATGCTACAAATACAAGTAACTATTCAATAAACTTGCTAAGCAGTAGTTTCCTGAATTTAAGTTGACCCACTACTCTTTTATGTTATTTTCCAAAAATTAGATCATATTTGGGATTTATTTTCTTTCAGAAGGATCTCTGCTAGTTAGACAGCTGGGTTTCCCCCAACTAAATATTATTATTGACAGAAGTTTTGTCCAAATAAATCAGCTGCCACCTAGACCATGAGGTGAGGAACCTGACTTCAGGCACTATGCAATTCCCATGTCAAATTTCCTTTTGTGACATTGCCCTGCCCCAAAGCACCGGCATTGTTAACTCCGGGACACTGTGTCAAAAGACTTATCTTCAGGGCTATCATTGCCTAGGGTTAAAATAACACACATTCTCTAAGCTTCTGACCCGGTAAAGTACTTCAAGCTACATTCCCACATGATTGCTCTCCTGTGTTGGCTCCCTCTATTAGTAGCCTTTAATCAAGTACTTTTTAGATCATAGAAAAGATTTGGACTTAATCTTGAGATAGAAGAAATGACAACTTTACAGATGAATTACTACTGCACGAAGGTAATCACGGATATTGTGCAGAGGTGCTTTTGCTGCTCTGTCACATGTGTGAAACCTCCCTGAACTGGTTTACATAAACAGAAGTACTTAGAGCATAGCCTAGCAATGACAGAAGTTGTGCTCTTACTGTAAGTGAAAAATAACTGCTTACCACAGCACGGACAGCAGCAGCTGTTATAGAGTGAAACAAACTACTACACCAGCAATCAGAAGCCTCGGTGAAACCTTCCACTGAGAATGAGATTATAATACAAAGCACGTTTCCAGAATACCCCGCTGTCACCTCCTCTTCCTTTTCCACACTGAGCAGAAGCCTTTGTCTTTTGTCCAGGTTCTCCTTCAATGCTGCGCATGACTCACTAGCACAACGCACATGCAACTACTCCAGGGTACTGATGGCCAACTTCTTGCCCAACACTTAGATGCACAAAACTGTATTTGATTCAAATAATAAGTGAACTATGATATGCTAAACAAGCACATGAGCTGCCTGTCCTGATAGCTGAATAATTAAAAATCAGATTCTTACACTTTAATAATTAGATAGCAGCTTCGGAAAGAGCAGTCTATCAACTTAATGACTGTTTTCTCTACTTGCCTGTGTTTACATCAAAAGGAACTCTATTGAACCCTATTGCCTTTTTTTGGCTGGTGTTAGGTCACACAGAAAACAAAACAACAAAACACAATCCTCCACAACTTTCATAATATACATCAAGGGCCAAATGATGGTAATCACACTACTACAGCTGAACAGGATTGCTCAGCACGTTAGATGAAAGTCATGTGAAGTGCTGAGAGCAACTGAGTGCACAACTGGAGAATGCTTTCCAATCTCAAACCACAGGCAAGTTAAAACTGGAAAGTCCAGGATATCTTCAAAGACCTAAGATAATAAGGTTGCAGCAGAATACAAAACACTCAGCATTGAAGATATACCACAGGAAATATGTAAACCTTGATAATGTATACTTGGCAGATTTGTGTTTATTCTCAGCTGTAGAAATATATGTTAAGTTGAGAACAGCTTTAATTTAACAGTCCAGAAATATCAGACAGTAGAAGTAGCTCATTTGCCTTCAAACCACCACCAAAATCAGACTTACAAGACTTGCATCATATCTGAACCTTGTGCCAACACTAATTTTACAGAATATATTTATGTGTTTCTGACATCTTTTAAAACTCAAATAGCTGACATTAGTAACCAGCCACAAGATTCCTCATGTTAAGTCTTCCTCACTTCAGAACATCTAGTTGTCAAAACCTGCACAGAATTTGAAATACTGCAAGTATTAACTGGAAACAATAGAAAATCATCTATGGGGAAAAAAAACCCAAACATTTTTCAGCTGATTAAAGTTGCAGAGTGAATTACAGGTGCATTTACATTGGCAGCAAAAACCATAACAAGTGTTAGAAGCTTTACCTGTCTCCCTTTAGGACCTCTTTTTCCGTGGAAACCTGGGATGCCCTGAAAAAGAAATAGTTCTTTGTAAGTAGGTTTTCTTTTCTTCAATAGCTTAAATGCAATTAACTAAACCTGCACTGGATTGGAAAAGGCAGTATTAGAAAAAACACCATTAAAAATACAGATTTGAGCAAAGACTCATAGAGGTAATGTCCCATAAAAGAGGGGTACAAAACCACTAACTGTGGCCATATCAGATCAACTATAAGGAACAGCCACATCCTGCTTCCACCAAAATACATGGTCAGATACCCTTTGTGCTCTAGAGAAGCGAGAAAAAGCTCAAGTACAGAGTGACAGAGATTAAGATTTCCCTGATTGATTTTATTGCGAACTTCATCTAACAACTGACAAATATTAATTCTTTACTGAAAAAAAATTGCTTCAATGAAAAATACTCATTAGGGACCTTGGTGGTAAGAAAAAAAATATCCCTAATCCTTGTAGCTCTAGATTAAATTCAAATAATAATTTACAACTGCTCCCCATTTAACTTTAGCACCAATGCATTATAATTGATTAGGCTAACTAGATATAATCTATTTATTTAATTTCCTCTACATGAGTTTTCTTTTAGACAAAGACTCAAATGAATGGTTCTACCTTGTACATTTTTTTCCCCCAATTCTAACATATATTTCATTACCACTCAAACTTCAATATTTCATTAATGTTCCATTAAACCTACTCTTTCTCCTTCAGGTCCTGGTTGTCCTGCCACACCTGGAGGTCCAATGAAACCCTAAGAATCATAAGAACAATTCTTGATTACAAGTCTGCCTCCCAACAACATTTTTTGTTCCTTAGTATTGGCCAGCTATGGATTCATGATTCAGGGATAAAATTCAGGCTCGTTTGAAATTACCAGTGAAGCTTACTCAACTTAAACATGACTAGGAGTTATTCTCCAACCAAGAGCAAAACCTATTTTCTTTTATAAAGGTACTGAATCAATTTAGAAAGAAGCATTTAAAAAGTGTTCCAATACAACAAATTTGAATCAGATAGATATCTTATGTATTAGAATGAATGACATATGAAAAATCTGCTGAAGTTAACCTTATTCATGAAATATACTGGAAAATATGTTCTTGTCTTTAATAACACTTAGTGATCACTGCTATATGCAAGAGTCCTTATAAGTTTACCTTGTTATAAGCAGAATATTTTTCATAACGTTCAGTCACAATGCATTTCTCTCTCACCTCTCAGGGAGACACAAATAGATCTTCTCTTATAATGAGTTCTATGGACGCAGAAACTTGCTGCTGACTCAGCAGAAATGAAAGCACAATTTACAAAAATAGTAACAGAGGTGGATTCTGCACTACTAGATTTAAATCAAGATTGGAAAAAAAAAATATTAGTTACCAAAAAAGAACCCTTTGCTTTCATCTCTCTCCAGCCCTCTGGGCTGCAATGATTTGGGGTTGGGGTTTCTAGCTCGAGGCTTTGTTGGCTTGTTGAGGATTTTTGCGCCTTTTCTGGGGGGAGAGGGCAGGGGGTGTGGAGGTGTGGGGTGCTAAAACTAGAAAAAAGTGCCAATCTTGTCATCCAGCCCTAGAGAAAGTAAGGAAAGCAAAGGCACTTTTTTAGTCTACAGTTTCTTAGAACAGCTGAGAAGCAGAGTATAGTTTGATTGCAGGAATGTTTCCTCAACCTAAGGCTGTAAAGATACTTGGTATCATGTTACTACACACTTCCATGGCACAGTACTATGTCTCAACAGGGCTGCATCATCATCTTTATTGGAAGTTGTTTGCAGCATTTATATACAGGACTTAGCCTTAAGATCTGACAGGTGTTTTTCCTTAAGATTACTCATACATGTGCCAAGTTCAGCTTTGTGTAAACAGAGAAGTCATAGCTTTTCAGGAAGTGGCACTGATCACTTAATGTCTTGTTAGCTGAGGGGAGGAGAAGAAAATGCATTGAGAATCTGAGCAAAAATAAACTGAAGAAATGTAAAAGATACAGTCCCTGAGGGTGCAGTATCTGTTGGCACTTGATCCTCATGAACTAATTTTTACCATCACTGTAATGAAAACTGACATCAAAAAACCCTACCCCCCCAAAACAGACATATGTTTAAGAAGCTGCTGCAGTAAAGGCTTTTAGTACCTACATTAAAAAAAAAAAAAAAGGCAAAAAAAACCCCAACAAAACCAAAACCCTAACAACAACAACAAAAAACCAAACCCTAAACCACCCAACAACAGGACAAAAGTAAATCCAGCAACATGATTAGTTTAACAGATACTTGAGAAGAGAGCACACTGCTCAGCAACCTGTACAACATGTACTGCTTGAAAACGCCCAGCAAAAGGCTTCTTCAAATCCTAGGTGCAACCAGCAGCATGCAGATTTCTGGAAACCCCTGTCTCAGCCTGATGGTGAGAATCTGTCTGAAAAAGTACTTATACATACACAAGCATGTGCAGGCATACCCACATGTCCATTAAAAACAAACAAACCAACCAACACAAACAAACAAGTCTCAGAAAACGCTCACTTATTTTAACTCCAAGAGTAATGAAAAGCAAACCTTTAATCAGCAGAGAAGAGTCTGCAGTCCCTGGAACATATGTGGCTACAACTGAACCATTCTAAAAATCTCAAGACCACTTTTATGGTTTTTATGCAACAAGATAGTTTCCCTTTATCAAGTTCTGTAGCTGTTAGAGATTGCAAGCGCCAGATAGGTCTCCCCTCTTGACAGCTTCCATGATGGAAATAATGCTTCAGGCAGGAAACTCGTCCTCACTCCAGCTCTCACACACCCATGTTCAGGATGGATTCCCTCCTCTTGCCTGCATGCATTCCAAGTGAGAGGAAGGGCAACAATGGAAGACTGCTCTATGCTGCTCACCATGGGGGAAAAAAATCCTTACAGATATTTTGAAAGAAACACTATCCTTTCTTATTAGTAAGTTCTGTAAGTACAGAGTAAGTTCTATAAATACATTCAGCAGGCAGACAACTGGCAGAGCTGAATGAAATTCCTCATCCCTTGTCTTAGGTACTGTATGAGTAAAAATACACTTGCATGCCAAAATGCTTAAAATGCTTACTTACTCTTACACCTTTAGGACCTGGGTTACCTTCTGGTCCAGCTAAGCCCTATTACAAAAAGACAGGAGTTGTACTTAATTTAAAACAAGCAGATATGCTCTATTGAAAAGAACTGTAACAGAATTTGTCAACTGTAAACTGGCAATATTTTCTTAAAATTATTAGGGACCGTGTTCAGAAAAGTTTCCCGTTAATTCATGGCTGAAACTTAGACAACGACTGAAATGTCCTTTACATTAAAATTATTTCTTCTGGTAGGAAATTTTTTTCCAGAACCAGTGATCTGGCACTACAGCCAAAATTTCACAGGATTTTTCATAAGCCTTTATATTTGTACACATTTCCAATTATTTTCAGGCTAATGTCAGAATAGTATATGTAGTTCAGATGCTCTAAACATTTTGTGTTATATATCATTCAAAGAAAATATGTTATCATCTACTACTATACAAAATACTGTAACAAAATTTTTAAATACATAGCCTTTAAATACAAGCCTAACCCAATAAAACACTGAAGAATTGGTCAAATCCACCCTTTAAGCAGATAGATAGAAAACCACAAAGTCATATGCTGAATTTGGTTCATATATCTTTATATTCATAAAATAATGTAAATTAATAATATAAATAGAAAAGTTTTCTACTTTGTCTTAGCTGTGTTACTGGACTGAGTTATCTGCTAGCTTATATGTAAGACTAAAAAAAAAAAAAAATTTATCTAAGTGCTTGAGTTTAAAGAAAGCTGCTTTCTGGCTTTATTGGTTCTCCTTCACAAATATCTGAATGGAAAGAAAACAACAACAACAAAAAATCTTGTAATGCTCTGTTTCACCAGAGGGCTGAAGAAATAGTTTCAGTAGTGAAGTAAAAACATCAGTGAAAATCAGGAATAAGTATATTTAAACAGTCAATTTCCTGTTGCTTCCGGACTTGAGATATGAAGAAGATAAAATATAGAGAAACACGAGGTTTATGAAGGAGCCTAAAGCATTTAGACATTCAGTACTTTTGTGATGTAATTTATGTATTCCACAAAGGTACAGCATTTCTGCATCTAACTCACTCAAGTTTAAAAGCCACAAGACTCAACATTACCTAAAGGGCACTACCTGTGAAAGATGTTTGTTTCCAGGATAAATGACAGGATGTAAACAAATACATTTATACTACTGGTAGTTCCAAAAGAGTTAGATACAGTGCTTTTGAAAAGAACAAACAAGAAAACCCCCAAAACTGCAAAAACATCAGTATAGTTACTGCACCTGCCTGCCAGGGTAACCAACTGCCCCAATGTTGCCAGCCATTCCTGGAGCTCCCTGAGTGGAAGAAAAAAAACCAAACAAACAAAAACAAAACAAAACAAAACCAAACCAAAACAAAACAAAAACAAACAAACAAACAAACAAAAACCAACAAACAGCTTTAATGTCCTATTCGGGGTTTGTTTTATCATTCTTCTTTAAAACCTAGTTATATGACACAGCTTAAGCTTATGGAAAAAAATTACTTTGAGCAAGTGAAATGCTGGGGTTTGAACCCTGAGCCCCGAATTAAGGTTGACATATGGGTGATTCCCACAGCCCTTCATACAGAGGTGGTGAGTTTGCCTTATAGCTTCCCCCCCAGGGTGCAGCCGGCCCTGCAGGGAGAGCCATAAGGGAAA